GTGTGTGTGTGTGTGTGTGTGTGTGTGTGTGTGTGTGTGTGTGTGTGTGTGTGTGTGTGCGTGTGAAGCGCAGAATCCTATCAGCTGAGAATGAAATGCAAGGCATTCAGTGGTGGCATCACGCGGGGTTTAAATCTAATGAGGAAGAAATGACCAGTTTGAGGCCTTGCATTGACCCGGTCTGAGCCAGCTAAGAGAAAAACAGCCTTGCGGGTCTTTGAAACGAGGGAGGCAGTCATTAAAATATGTTAGCTTTTTGTAGATGGCAGCAATTCTATTTCTAAGGATCTCTGATTAGTAGGAACAATAGACTTTCCAACCATCCATTACCTTCTGCTTGATCCACAGTCGGGTCTTGAGGGCAGCAGCTTGAACGGGGATTGGTGGACCTGTTTTTCCACAGCTAGATTTTCTGGGTGGACTCCAAAGTTTTCCCTGACCAAATGAGAGGCATAGTCTTTCCATCGTGTCCTGGATCTTCCCTGGAGTCTCCTCTTAGTTGGATACCCTCACTAGATGGACTACCTCAACTGGCTTCTCTCGATGTGGAGGAGCAGTGGCTCTACTCTGAGTCTCTCCGGGATATCTGAACTTCTCACCCTAAGAGAGTTCAGCTATCCTGCAAAGAAAACCTGCTTAGACCGTATGTATCCGCTACCTTTATAACCCAAAGTTTGTGGCCACATGTGAGGGTAGGATTGTTGACTGATTAGTAAACAGAGAGTTACACCTTACAGCTCAGCTCCCTCCTCATCACCACAGACCAGTGCATAGTCTACTGTGGAAGCTGCACCGATCTGTCTGTCAATCTCACGCTCCCTGACCTTGTTTGATCATTTCAGTAGATCATAAATTATATTTAGAGACAAACCACTCGTATTTGACATGTACTGTCAGTTTCGTTAGCCTTATTCGCCCCGTAGACTGAAAACATTTAATGACCTTTAACATAAATGCTGCAGTAAAACTCATGGCTTGACATGGAATAGTAAGCTGTGACTGTTAGTAGCAGGACATCACGTCGTAGCCAGAATTCACAAGAAGAGCATTAATGGAGATCAGTTGTAGGTATTTTGGCAAAGCGTGTGAAAACTCCTTGCCCTCTTTGAAGTGCTACAGCTTTTTCCCAACGGAGCATCATTCAAAGTTGAAACGGGTCGCTGAAAGTTGAACCTTAAATGACTGAACTGGCGTCTTTGTATTTTTTAGGTTCACGATTTTTTTTACAGAATGCCCACTGATCTCACACTGTAACTTTTAGGTCATCTTTTGCGAACAAACTCTTTTTACTCCCACACCTCTTCATGGTACAAATGCAAATATTATACTTCAAAATGTAGACTTTTTTGTCTTCTTTCACCCAATGTATCTATATGGCACGGAATGAGGGCCAAAATTAAGATTATTGCGCAACCAGCGGTTTCTACATCCTTGCAGCAGGAGGCTACATCTATTCCTAAACCAGCTATTGATCTGATTAATGATAGGCCGGCATCGCTAACTGAGCAGCTGGTCCCGGTAACAGAGAGGCTGGTGCTGGCAAATGAGAAGGAGACTATTCATTTGCGTTAGCCCGGAAAGGCTAGTGACTAGCATGGATAAGCTGGCGTTAGTATTGGAGAGGCCAGTGACTAACGTGCCTAGGCTGCTCACCCACTTAATTAGACACAAACATTTGTGAATAAAGAAAACTTTCTCTATAAACTAAACTTGTCTAAAAAGACCCAATTTGATAGCTGTGGCTTTTCCCATAATTCGGCAAAAGAGAAAGAAACACTGCCGTTGACCATCATGCTGAACAGTAAATTCTGTCTAAGGACACCTGTCAGTGCATGGTGCGTGTATGTTTTGCATGTAGATGTGGGTATTGAAAGGGTTTATTTCGATACCGGTGCTAAATCGATACTTTCAAAACG